ATGTGCCACATTTTAATCAGATAACTAATATTTCAATCAGATAACATCACAGATTTTAGTGAGTTAACTGGGATTAACTGTAAGACGTTAGTACAAAAATAGTTACTTTTAAAGGCAGATCCAGTATGCATTTAAGTGAATGGGAATTTTTAATTTATATAAATGAGTGCTGGATTCAACCCTTGATACATATGACAGGCTGCAGGATTTGGTGTGTAATCAGTTAAGAACATAAGCACAGACATATTGGGTCAGAGGAATGGTTCACAGCAGCGGATATAGGGCACAGCGAGCGGGGCTGCTGCCCCGGGCCCCGCGCTTCAATAGGCCCCGCGCACGCTCTACTTCCTGTCGGCTGTGGCCATGGCGCATGTGCGAAATTGTGCTGCCCTGGGCCCCGCAAACTCTCATCCGCCCCGATGGTTCATATTTCCCAATATCCTGTTTTCTGACAGCGGTCAATTCCAGATACAGGTAATGAACAGAAAAGGGAAGCCCCAAAAAACTAAGAGAAACTTTGTTTTTACTAACATAAAATAATCTTTGAGCGATATGCTACTATCTCACATAATTTCTTGTAAAGTATCACTTAGGCCACAATTCTGTCAAAATTTCAGCATGTGAATAATGTATGTACAATAAAACTCCAGTAGTCCGGCATCCAACTGTACAGCGCTCCCAATCGTCCGACATCAAAATGGCAAAAGCCTACTGAGTGAGCTTCAGCAAAAAATGAGTCATAAGGCAGCAGCGGCAGCAGCTGAACCAAGCAAAACTGGACGAGACTGAGTCAGTCTGCCACAAGCATTGTGTGACGCTGGACAGTGCTTGTGCTACAATAAAAAGAGTTAAAAACACTTTATATACAGTGTTATATAATCTGATAATCCATCATATCCGATAATCTGGCACCACCTAGGTCCCAAAGGTTCCAGATTATCGGAAATCTACTGGTCTACTGTATATTGAAGTGCTTACAGGCGTTTGATTTCAGTTGTGGAGTTCAGCAAAGTTTGAATATATCATCTTGTAGGATTGAAGCCTTATAAAACTGATTCCTTGCTTAGGGCACATCTACACAGCAGGTCAAAAGCTGAAATAAGCTATGCAATTTGAGTTACATCGATTGTGTAGCTGAAGTCGAAATAGCTTATTTTGGGCTTTTGGCTCTGTCTATACAGTAGGAAGTCCGAGAAAGAGCACTCTTCCTCCAACTTCCCTTACTCCTTATAAAATGAGTGTTCCAGAAGTCGAAGTAAGAAATCCTCCAGTTCAACATTATTTCAAGATCATGTCAAAATAATTGATTGTAGTGTAGACGTGGATTATGTTATTCGTAAATAACAATGCTGTGTAGATGTACCCTTAGAAACATCAACACAGGAAGGCTACGTCTACATTGGCCCCCTATTACGGAATAGGGATGCAAATGTAGCACTTGGGAAGAGGCAAATGCGCGGGGGATTTAAATATCCCCCGCGGCATTTGCATTTTCATGGCCGCCGCTTTTTTCCGGCTTGGAGATAAGCCGGAGAAAAGCGTCCAGACTGGCGCGATCCTCCGGAATAAAGCCCTATTCCGGAGGATCTCTTATTCCAAGTAGGAATTGCTGTTATTCCAAGTAGGAAAAAGAGATCCTCCGGAATAGGGCTTTATTCCGGAGGATCGCGCCAGTCTGGACGCTTTTCTCCGGCTTATCTCCAAGCCGGAAAAAAGCGGCGGCCATGAAAATGCAAATGCCGCGGGGGATATTTAAATCCCCCGCGCATTTGCCTCTTCCCAAGTGCTACATTTGCATCCCTATTCCGTAATAGGGGGCCAATGTAGACGTAGCCGAACAGAAAAGTCCGTACAATTTTTACAAGCATTTTTAATTAATCAAATTCTACTGCTTAAAAGGACTCTCTGAACTGGATGTTTTTAATAGTATGTTGACAGTTTCCCATTCATTCACTTTGGAGTGTGAAACTAAATTAGTCTGAAAAAGTCTCAGAGAGGTAGCCGTTTTAGTCTGTAACTCTACAAACTACAAGCAGACCTTTAGGCTAACAAATGTATTAAGTCATGAGCTTTTGTGGATAAAACCCACATCAGATGAGTTGGAGTGGAAATTACAGAATATGGGGTATATATAACAGCAATAGAAGTCACCTGTCAATTGTAAAACCAGTGTTAATGAAATTAATAAGTCACGGTGGATATGTATCATTCACAACATTTGATATGGAGATGCCAGTATCAAAAGTGAGGAAATTACCTTTGTAGTGTTTTAAGCAGTTAAGGTTTTTATTCAAGACTAAGTTGATAGTATTGAAATTCAGATGAACTCCAGTTTAGCTGTCTCCCTCTGTAATCGTGTGATACAATTCTTTTGTAGAAAGATGACTACTTTTAAATCCATTATTGAATGTTCATGGTTAAAATGTTCTTCTACAGGTTTATGTGTGTTACCTTTCCTGATGTCCGATTTGTGTCCATTTATCCTTTGGTGCAGAGACTGTCTGGTGTGGCCAATATACATGGGAGAGGGGCATTGCTGTCACTTGATGGCATATATCACATGAACGGATGTGTAGTTGTATGAGCCCCATGATATTGTAGTGTATTGTGTTGGGTCCAGGGATGATGTTGCTTGAATGGATATGTGGACAGAGTTGGCAATGGGGTTTGTTGAAGGGCTAGTCTCCTGGTTGAGCATTTCTGTGGTGCAGCATGTGGCTGCTGGTAAGTATTTGCTTCAGGTTGGGTGCTGTCTGTAAGCAATGACAAACAAGGTCTCCCAAGGTCTGTGAGAATGAGGGATAATTTTCCTGAATAAGTTGTAGATTGTCTACGATGCACTGGAGGGGTTTGAGCTGGGGACTGTAGGTGATGACTAGGGGTGTTTCTCCCAAGGTCTGTGAGAATGAGGGATAATTTTCCTGAATAAGTTGTAGATTGTCTACGATGCACTGGAGGGGTTTGAGCTGGGGACTGTAGGTGATGACTAGGGGTGTTCTTAGGGTTACCAGATGGTTTAAAAAAATACCGGACACACTTGATCTCAGATCGTGGCGGAGGGGAGGGGAGCGGGGCTGGCCGGGGGAGATCGGGGGAAGAGGGGGTGGGGAACCAGCAGG